ACCATACTGAGGCCTTGGGAGGCAATTTGTGCGTGGTATATATTCATCGTCTAGAAGTTTTCGACTGCCGATGTTTATGTAGTTTGGCGCGGGTTGGATGGAGCAAGCGTGTAGGCAACTCTGAGGTAATGATTCGGTGGAAAATTCGTTATCACATAGAAATCAGATCACTAGGCTTCACTGGTTAGGACACGTGTTGTGCATGCCCAGCTGTCGCCTACCGCACCTTATTCACAGTTGCGGCTCCAGGTTGGAGGAAACCATTTGGAGGTCAACACATGACGTGGAAACGAAACCTGAAGAAATGCACAGAGCTATTAGGTAGAATCGGTGTTTCCCGTCTTCCCGGTTAAAATCAGAAAGACTCTGTATCTGTTTGGTTGAAGACAGCAGTGGTGTTCTTTTTGTCATTTCTGACCAGGTCAGAATGCTTGAAAAGGTATGTATGCACAGTTAGGTTGTGCACCCTTTGTTAACCACAGAGGTTTACTTTCTTGTCCGCCATCCAATTATGCCCAAACCCAATCCATCCTGTTCTTTCTCACTTTCTTTGTATACATTTAGAGCTTGGCATCGATCAGTAAAGTTCACTTCTCTGTCTCGCTGTACGATGGTGATGATGATTCTGAGATTAATAATATCAAAAATGATTGGGATTACAGAATTGGAAGTGTTCCATAAGAAAGTTCAGTTCAATTTGTACAAACATTAACCATGCACTATCGTGCGCCGGTTTTGGTTGTTGTCTTTTTCCATAAGAAAAGAGAAATGAAAGATAGAAGAGAAAACTGACCAGAGTGGTTTCCCAACAGAGAACGAGGCAGATGAGAAAGGGACAAGAGTCCGGAAACCGTCGATGCGAATTTAGAACAGCAGAAATTAAAATAGTTACGGTATAAAAGAGATAATAAAGCAACTACCCGGCAATCGGTAAGTGACTGCCAAATTAAAGTTAAAAACGATTCTTTGGTGTGCTGGATAGCTTTATGTTGAACACGATCAAGAAGAGAAGGCAGAATGAGAAGCTCTATCCCATACGGGACTGCAGTATTTGAGCATCAGTCGGACTTGAGCTTTGCATCGAAGGAAGTGGATCGGTGTAAAAAGAGCTCTGAGCATGAAATAAGGAATTGATTTTGCGTAGTGCGAGAGGTGAATGTGGACATGAAAGGAGGCCAATAGAGAAAAAAGGATATAGACAAAACCATGAGAGGAAGAACTTTTGGAACGAACAGAAGCTAGTAAATATCCCTTATGTAGAATAAGGTGCATGGTTGATAGAACCCCATGTAGAGATTAGTCCGAGAGACACAATAATGATACTGCGGTCGTGATTGACGTTGGTAGTGGCTCGGTGGGTCATATGGTAAGAAAGAAAACTGCAGATTGGCATCATCGGCGAAACGATGAGTGGGTTTTGAGGTTTGGGATAAAATATCGTCTATAAATAGAAGAAAGAGGATGGACACCAGTATGGGACCTTGGGGAACACTGGCATTCACAGGTAACAGTCGAGATAGGATCCCGTCGACTCGGACATAGAAATTTTGCTTTCTGAAAAAACACTGCAGCCACCATACAAGAGACGGTGGAATTTGAACGTGTTTGATTTTGACAGCATACTTTCATTTCGAACTCCGCCGGACACCTTTAAAATGTCGAGCGAGACCAAATAGATTTCTCTGTTTCTCTAGTGCAGTTGGGCGAGATTGCAATATGAAACGATGAGAGCGAAATCCATCTTGGCGGTCAGTCAGCAAATCTTTGCGTTCGAGAAACGCTTGCAGTTGGTCGGAGATAAGGGTTTCAAGAACTTTACAGAAATGAGGGTGATCGGACGACAGTTCTTCGAATCGGGACTGGTAAATTCGTACCCTCTTCGTCGAGTATACTAAACAACTTCGGTTTTTGTGTTCAATTATTCCAGCCAACGTTCTTAAAGGCTGAAACCAAATAACAATGACAGTATCAAGTCAGCTTTGGATGTTTAGTCTCTGGGTTGATGATATCCGCGAACTCGTACGTCTAACAACAGGCGAGGTAAAAAACCAAATCAGAACGACTGATATCACGAAACCTCAACGACTGTTTTATTGTTATGAGCTGGAGAGTAGAGAGAGAAGCGTGCAGAAAGTGAAAGTCAAGGTACCGTGACCAACGAGGTAATCTTGATTCGGTAAAACAACCAGGTCCGGAAGATGGAAAAGGTACATGAGCGGAAAGGGTTGACACTATCGCTACAGATGGTGAAACACCAAAGTATTGATGTCGGGGACTGCTTCCGTATATTTCCCCCAGTTTCCCGTCTTTCCACTCACGCTGTTGTCGTACTGGCACTATGCTTGAGTCGTTGTATTGTGACACTGGGTTACCCGTCTGAATACTCTGTCGCGTGACTATTTATCCTAAGCTTGTTTGCTCTTACCAATCCTGAATTTCACATCGACAATTGCAGATGCATAGTTAACGTATCTTCACATAAAAGCGTTCAATAAAATTCACACATTCTTGGATCAAAGTCTACCCTTAGATCTCTGGATTTCATTAAGTTTACCTTTTCATAACTCTACCATTCGATAAAAATCACTGCTGGTCTCATTAACATTTAATTCTACGAGCACATGATAAGGATAACCCTACTGGGGTAAAAATTTCATTAAAATCCAAGTCAGTACCTACATCTTTGTTTCCGTTTTCGTCTTTACGATGTAATGCACTTGTAGTTTATAGCATCCAGTCTAAAAACGGTGTTTTCATTATTTCAGTGAATGGGATTGGGCGTACCGCGAGGCATATCTCGAACTGGAGCGTCGTCGTCGCGACGGATTGCCGCTAATCGATCGTGACCTCGTCCCCGCATCTCGAGTGAAGCTCCCGACTGACGAAGAACTGGGTCCGGACTTCAAGATCATTATCTAGGCTTTTTGTCGTTGTTTTCATCTCTTCAAACCTTAATAGTCAGTGGATTCTTAGAAGTGATAATCAAGACAATGTAAATACGTTATCGAACTTTTCTTCTTTCGTGTGATCGCTGTGTTGTTTCCCGTACCTCATTATTCACTGACAATAGTCTTAGCCCGTGGGCCTATCCTAAGTCATTCATCGATTTGAGGGGTCTACATCACCTTCACTCGTATGATAGGAAGCAGAACGGTTTTTTAAGGCCTGACAATGAACTACTGCACTCAATTCATTCACTAGGTATATTGCTATATCTGACTAATCAAACAGATTATTTTGTGCACAAAAATGAGAAACTGACTGGGGGGGAGGACGCAGGAGAATTTCTGAAGAATATCAAACTGATAACGGCGGAACGTGGTTGGGGAGCTGGAAATGAACAAAGCTCTCCCTCCCGATGGATGACAGTATTCAGTAGTGGAGTAATTTTTTGTTTAAAGTTAAAACATTTCGCGCACGCTGAGCTTCAGGTTCCAGGCAATAAGGGTCGTTCTTTATAACTGCATAGTAGGTTCTTGGGATTGTCTTATGCACCCATTCAACTGTTTATCACACTGTAGAAGCGCGCTAATCAAGGGAAAGTAGGGTAAAGTTCATGTTGATTGAAATATTGGTGGGGGTAATACGATTGTAAAAGCCCCAGTTATAGACTAGTCGAAATTCGGAGGGGGGGACTAATTTTGACAAAAGCAGAATTGAAAGGGGTAACCTAATCGGCGAGAACACGGATTGGAGATTGAGGAAAGTAGCTCACAGATAGAGGAAAGAAAGGTATTCCGAAAAATATCGAGCCTTGATGCGTATCGGCATTAACCGGCAGATAATCCAGTTGGAAGTCCATCATATAAGCCCTGAATTGGGTCAGAATTCGGCAGGCAGTTTTATCAATCAATCTGTATATCAAATACAATCGGACTATTTCTCCGACATTGTCTAGGGCTGCTTGCCAAGTATACGCTCCAACAGTGGTCGATTGGTCCGAAATCCACACTAATAACCACAGTACCAGGTAGCAGTGGATTTGGTCAGTAACGGTGATTCTCACTACTTTTTGAACGGCTGATTTATGAACGACAGTCGTAAAATCTCGCCGAGTCACCGCGCCAGTTTACCAGGTGGTTGGAGAAATAAATGAGTAAGCAGCCCATGGCAGGAATTAGTTCTGCGGCTGTCGTTTAAAGGCATGTTGCTAATCTCATCTAGTCTATATTTATTGTGTATCTGGTGCCCACATTTCTTTAAATATCTTCTAGACTTCGATGTCATCATGGTTTCCAGCAGATTTGAACGATTTCATCACAGCAAAATTACGATGAGGTGACTTGATCGGCTGCAACGGCATGTGACTCATAAAATTCAACTGGTTCATAAGCAGATGAAAGTTGTCATGTTTGTGTGACGAATTGCGTTCAGCAGCATCGCTTTGCCCGGTGTCCTTTCTTTTCTGTTGCTATCCTCTGTATGATGAGCCGGCCTCATGGAGGACAAGGATAGCTACTGCACTCGAATCGGGATTATTGTGATGTGACTCTCTTTTCACCAGTGCATACCGAAGACTCAAACCTTTGGTGTTCGATCTGACAATTGCAATCCCCTTTTGCGATTGTCCATGCCAGTCATAGGGTGAAAACTTCATTGTCTCCAGAGTTCTGTGGCTGAACCACGTAAAGCCTAGTCAAGCCGCTTCAGCTCATTGTAGTGGCTTTGGCAGTCGCCCGATAGTACATCAATTATCGTGAACCAAACTTTTTATTAAGAAGCTTAGAAATTTCAAATAAAAAGTAGTTTACGTAGCATTCGTTGTGTGCTACTTCGAAGTAGTGTTTCCAGTCTGTTGTTCGGAAGGGACTACATCCTATTCATTTTTAGTCGTGTTTCAGAATTTTTCCCACATTTGCGAAGTCTACCTTGACTTGTTGCTTAGTTTCTTGCCTAGCAGATAGGTTCAATCTTCACAACTGATGGACAGTGTACTCTATCGTACGTAAAAGCTGACCAAAATGCCCTTCATCGACTTAGTATCTTGTCTTTATCACTCGCACTACTCATTAGTAATGATACCAAATAACTCACTGTCAGTTCCCCTACAGCCGATATATGGGCCAAAGCTGAACCACCATCGGGTAATCTATCGTTTTGTTATACCTGAAATAAATCATACTTCATGCTAACATCTAGCAACTTATGACTTCTTTGTGTATTGCTGAAACGGATGAAGGGGATTCAAGGTTTCAAACTGCATCGCTTGCGAAAATACCAACTGAGATAGACGTACACTTGTTAGTTGGCAAGTTAGACATTTACCACATAAACTGCTTTGTGCTCCCTTATTTATGATGGAACACAGTAATCCCACGTAGAGGCAATATCGTAGGGGATGACCAAGTCTGTACAATCATAGAAGGGATTCGAAAAGTGGCGAAGTTTGTTAGCGCTCCGCTACATTTCGAATGGTTCCTTTCAAACACAACCAGGCAGGAAACGTGTTCACTGGTTATCTACGCTAACAGAAAATGATTCATTATTCAGTGATTCCCTGTTCGTTGCATTTTGTATAAGTTATAAGGGTCGTTGTTGTTCTTGTCTTTTTGCTTCACCCTCATCGGTTTCTGCACACCTTTCTCATTCTCCCTTTCTATAGTTATTATTCCCTCGACTTTATGCTTGCTCGTGATCGTATATGTAATGCTGCATAAGTAACTGGGTATATATATATATATACGTTTGATAATTAACGATTCTACAAAGTACACACACTGTTGCTTACCACCATCCCACCAAGACATGTATGTCCTTCGGGAACTTCAAACGACTGCACTAGCAGTGTTGTGTCGGATGGGAACCCTACTCCTATTCTCTCGTGTCCTCGTTTGATTAACTTTCAAGTCTCACCAAATCCTCTACCGGTTGATGCTTTCTTCATCCTCAAAGTCCCTTCAAACTAGCCATATTTCACGTGCGAACCCTAGTGCCGTTAAGACACTGCGTGTTCAGGTCTAACGCTAAATACCCTAACCGTCGGTATTCGTTACATCCAAGAGTCTAGCTTCATCATCCAATGGACGCCACCACTTAATCACCCAGCAGAGTTTCATTTACGCCCTAAGGCTTCTGCTTCTGGTCTTACTGATGTTGGGGTGGCTCCCATTGGGGGAGCTGAAGTCGCGCTGATAGACTGTATCCAAGTTAGTTGTAAGTAGTGGGATTACTGAGTTCGTGCAAAGTAAGTTGTTGTTCCCTCGATAGATGCAGCTTTTTTTCGCCTCGGTCTATCCGCCGACTGATAACAGTCAGATATCTTTACTAACAGCTACAAGACCACTAGCATAAATGGAGTGTGGCTGACGTGATTTTAGTAGGAGATATTAATTTCAGTATAGATTAGCTATCTTCTGACGAGGCGCACTTGGGCTAACCTTCTATCGCTGGGAAAAGACTGACTGTTTTCTCTATGTTCATGACTCGCGTATCCCTCGTCGCTGCTAAATTCAGACACTCCAATGGTCAATAAGTCCCTGATTCAGCTCTAGACCCAGATGGACCACAGCGTTAGAAGCCACTAATGTCGGGATTGCATACAGGATTGTTGATTGTGCTGGATCGCTCCCCCCGAATCAGGCCACACCATTAATCAGCAATGGGCTGTCAATGCGTTTCGATGGGCGTTCCCAACGCACGATAGTTAGACTACGACAACCTATTCCAACCAGCCTTCTTAACTATAGTTTACGAAACACTAACTAGAAAGCCTGAACCAAAGCCTACCGGATAACATCGATCAGCACTGGTCGCTTGCCGAGAATGCTCTGCATTCTGCTGGCGTAGTGAGTTGTGGTCTGACTCGCCGTATCGTGTGACATACCGGATTTTCATTGAGT